ATAACAGTAAAATATGCAGGTTTACTGAATGTCTCGTCAGAGGTGTTGACTCAAAGCCGTTTAGAGACATTATGATTGTCTTTGTTCAGGGTCCATTACATAGTCAGAAAAATTGAGTTAAACTGTAATTATTTTTGTTCACATTTGAGAGATTTGAAAAAATGTATTGTATAATTTAATTGACAACTAATTTTTAAAATAATCATGTTTCAAATCACTTCATACTTGCACCTACTTACCAGATTATTCTCGATGGGTTTCTTTCGCACAGATACAGACTTAAATGGACTCAGTTCTTCATTGTCATTAAGTAAAACCTAAAATAAAAGACAATGTTTTAGTAACTTATTACTAGGTATTAACCAGCTAATAATTGACTCTTAAAACAAACTAAGTCTTACTTCTTTGTGAAGGAAGTTAAAGCCACGTCCTCCAGATTTTTCCGCCATTTCAATAATGTGACCAGCCAGTTTATGATGACCATTTTGAACAGCAATATGAACCATGTCAAAACAGGACTCCTGTTGAGAAAAGAAAAATTATACTTTATTATAACTTTCCAACAAGACCAGATACGCCATATGACAGAACATATGGCACAAAGACATAAAATGTAGACCAAAAAAAATCGAGGCCAGCCAACAATGTGGTACCACAGACAAATATGGAAAAACCTCAATTCATCCAAACTAATAGTGGCTTTGCGTATTCATAGCAATGCATGTTTTTTTTAAACATCATATCAAATAAATTCACTCATTTCTGTTTTTACAATTGTAGGAACTGACAAGCAACCATTGCATTATGCAATGTGATTGGTCAAAACAAGTTTCAGTTGTACATGTATGTGAATTTCACAAGTAAATATTTTTATTTTCCTGTCATCGCAGAGTAACAGTCCTGCATGGCAGAGTGACAGTACTGCATGGCAGAGTAACAGTACTGCACGGCAGAGTAACAGTACTGCACGGCAGAGTAACAGTCCTGCATGGCAGAGTAACAGTACTGCATGGAAGAGTAACAGTC